TAGTTCCTGCTCCTTTGTGGTTTCTCTCCCACCTTAACAAATGTAATTGCGTGCTGTACTGACTGCTGGTGCTTGCTGAGAGAGATTCCGGTGTTGATGGTTCCAGCAACTATCCTTAGCACCTGGTCGTGGCGCCACCGATAACGTCTCTCTCCCAGTGCCTTAGGGCAACAGCTTAATATGTGCTCCACGGATCCTCTTTTTTGGCACAGGAGGCATGCAGGGGTGTCTTTCAGGTCCCATGAGAAGAGCATGGTTGGACTGTGGAGGACATCGTAGACTGATTGGATAAGGAACTGGATCTGATATTCCTCCACTTTCCACAACTCAGTCCACAAGATCTTTCAGTCCATTGCTTGTTCCCATCTAGTCCATGCCCCTTGTTGTCACATCCCCACCATCCAACTGATGCGTCTTTCCTCCACCCCTGCACGGATTTCTTCTTGGACCAGTTGACGCCTGTCCTTTCCCCGGGCCTTATCATACCAAGGTTTCTGGTAACAGCCAAGCCCTGCACGTCCTGACGCCACTGTCCCCACCAGCACACTGTGCCGCAGCCGTGCTTCAGCCTGGTCGACTGCCTCCTGGGCCCTCCACTTCCTACCTGTCCTCACCTCAATGCCAGCTGAGGAAACTTTGGAGTCATTGGATTCTCTGTACAGCAGTACCTCACTTGCTCGGGAAACCATGGACTCCTCCGACAGGCCACTGAAGGGGAGTTGTAGCTTGTTCTTCCTTCCGTATAGGGCTATGCTGGTGATACTGTGTGGAAGACCCAACTACCTATGTAGAGAGTGGCTGATCTTCCTCTCAAAGCCCTCAACAGTGGTTAGGGGGACATCGTAGACTAGCAGTGGCCAGAGGAGTCGCGGCAGAATGCCATGCTGGTAAATCCAGGCTTTGAACTTTTCCTGACTTGTCCACTGCAGCAATCCAGGTGTGCAACTCCTTCCCAGTTTCATGAAGTGTGGCTGTGTCCATAAGTGTGCTGTACTTTTCCCAGGCTCCTAACTGGCTTCTTGGTGATTGATGGAATTTGCACTCCTCCGAGGGAGAAACGGAACTTGTCGGTTACATTTCCCTTCCTCACCACAAGGGATCGGGACTTGGCTAGCTTAAAGTCCATTCGGGCCCAATTATGAGGCGTTCAAGTCCTTGGAGGATCCATCTGCGGCCTGGTACAGATGTTGTGGTTACCATCAGATCGTCCATAAACGCTCTGATAGGGGGCTGTCGCACACCTGACCAGGTAAGTGGGCCTCTGCATTCCATCTCTGCTGACTTAACTGCATATTCATAGCTAAGGCGAACTAGATCACAGAGATAGTGCACCCTGTGATTATTCATTTCTCCAGCCTATAAAATGCAAATGCTATTGATCCAGAGGTGACTCTCAAATTAATGCAACTATAATAGTTCAAAAGGAGGTCCCTGATTTTATCTGGAATGTGATGTTGGATCAGTGAGGTTTCCACCAGCTTGTGCGGGATTAACCCTTAAGCATTGGCAAGGTCGAGCCACAGCACTGCCAGGTCCCCGTCACCTTCTCGAGCCTCCCGGATTAACTGGGTGATAACTCCTGTGTGCTCCATGCAGCCTGGCACTTTCGGGATCCCACCTTTCTGAACAGTGGTGTCAATGTACTCATTCTGCAGGAGAAACTCCGTCATGCATTGAGCAACGAAACTGAAAAAACTCTTCCCCTCCACGCTGAGGAGTGAGATGACCCTGAACTGCTCGATGTTACTTGAGTTCTCCTCCTTCGGAATCCAGACACCCTCTGCATGTCTCCACTGCTGTTCCACTTTTCCCCTCCTCCAGATGACTTTGATGATTTTCCATAGGCGCTGAAAGAGTTTGGGACACCTCTTGTAGACCGCGTAGGGCCACTTGGACCTGGTGCTGAGTTTGTCCTAGCTGCTTTGACAACCTCCTGAACCTCTCTCAAGGTTGGGTCCTTGAGGTTAAATGCCACACTGGGTTCCGGTGGGGTTATCAACTAGAGCCCGACCAATATATCGTTTAGCCGATGCTATTGGCCGATATGAACCTGTCGCCGATATATCGTTATCGGCGAATATGCCGCCGATATGAAATTTTTTTTTTTACAGAACATATAACGCAGATTAAATGCTTCTGAATGGTGTAATTACTTCACTTGTCCAGCAGAGCACGCTCCATTGTTTGCTACTGGTGACCCAGGTCAGTGTAGTGTAGAGATGCGTGGATGAGTTCAAACTTCACTGGAGATGTGCCCACTGCTTCAGATTATCCGCCCGCCACCTATCTGCACCTATATTTGATCGTCACATTACAATGATTCTAATTTTTAGTTTTGCATGATGATATGATGAGATGATATGATCATATGATGATATGATGGCTCATTTTTAACAGCAGATTCAGTGACGTTAGAAACTAGCGCTGACATGCGCATCACGGCACGTCTCCACTGTGGCGCATTAAAGCCTGTGTTACGGCCACCGGAGCTGATCGCCGTTGAACTGGTGTTTATACCGGCCGCACTGCGGCCCAGAACTCATGCTTACCTCGTCGGTCACATAACATACAGCGGCACGTGTCCGGTGTATGTTGTCTACACTGGATGCAGTAAACTGATGCCTTGTTCTATTTATGATATGCTGACACAAAGTTCAAATGATTTTCAATGGTCACTTTGTCGCGTCCTGTTGCGGCGCGGACACGGTGTCAGCATAGTTTGTCAGTACCAACAGTAACGTAGCAGATTGAAAGGTTAGTATCTTTCTGCAGTCCAATAGATGGTGGTTTGAGTCGGTTGAATGGTGATTTAACCCTATGTTGTCACCTAGTTGGAGAGACTCAATGCTAACTTAATAAACAACAATGTCCCCGTTTTTTACTCTCACAATGAGCTTATCATGTTCGTTTACTACATTAGTAGGGCCCTATGATTTCTGCGATGCAGGAAACATGAACGGAATCACGGAATCCAGTCATAAAACTGGAATTTACTGTAAAACGCGGAATTTCATGGAATTTGTCTTATTTTTGATGAATAAATAAAACACAGGTCAGTACACATATATATATATATAGACTGTGTCTGTGAATATTAAACTGCAAAAAGACGATTTAAATACGAATATTCTGCATGTTCATTTGATTACCAGAAAATACACAACACAGAGTTTGTGGGAAAAAAAATATTATTAATTATTATTATTTATTCATTTTAGATGTTTACATTTGGAAAAGCTGTGCTTCCTGCATAAACCTGCCCCTGTTGTTTTGGCAGTATCTTGTTTGCCCGACACAGTTACCTTGTTTAATTTCTTAATTCAAGTTATATATATTTTGTTCTATTTGTGTTATTTAAGTTGTTTATAATAAGTGAATTGAAGTTTACTGTTAAGTGCACTGATGCCAGACTCATTTTGAATAATAAAGTTTATTGTTAAATTGTTAAATACCCTGCCTCCACTACATAGGCCTATGTTTGTCACATCATTATTAAGTGTTTGATCACCACATTTGAGTTATCATTGCAAAAAATGTGTTTATGTATATACAGTATATTCTGTTTATGTAGGCTATATACTGTATTCTATATAAAGTACCAGTCAAAAGTTTGGACACACGAATGGGAAGTGTCCAAACTTTTGTCTATACTGTACTATAATATAGCCTACACATAAAGAATATTGGCCGATATATCGGTATCTGTCTTTTTTTACTCCCTAATATGGGTATCAGCCCCCAAAAAACCCATATCGGTCGGGCTCTATTATCAACTTCCTACACAGTCCAAGTTCCTGATCCTTCAGTACCTGAAGTGGGTGTGTCAGATATAGGGAGACATACAAAATGTGCAGTACTGGGTGTACTTCATGGAGAAGTTTGAGAACCACTGCTCTAGTGAACACTCACTCATGTGCGTTGCGTTGACGTGCGAGTCTTCTATCGCGTGAACAACACAAATGCGTTGTGATACTCTTGTGAACGCACAATGCAGATCAATATTTTCATAAATAAAGTTGTAAATTATGTTTACAACGATGGAAACTATTATAACAGTGTAATTTTAATGAACCTCATCTGTCCACATGATGTCGGTAAATCATATTGGCTGTCGCGTTCTCACATTAGGCTACTATGGATTGTGTGTAAGAGCATGAGCAAGTTACTGGCCACAGCTCACTTAACAGCCACTAGTGTCGCTAATAACAAGGGTTTCTGAATTCTACATAGAGCCCTTTAACAGCTAGATATCAGTATTTTTAGGAGTTAATCTGTACTGTTGACAGTGAAATAGCTTGAGGCATCCACTTGAGTAGGACTAGGCGGTACGACAATACAGTTTTGCTGGACTCCTTAAAGAATAGGTTGTTTATAAGTTGGAGGGGGAAAGCTCTTCACTTTCTCTTAAGTGGCCCTGTCTCTTGCACTTCAATTGATGTTTGTATTTTCAAAAGGTTTGTATTTTCAAATTACAAATTATTTGTATTTTAATTAAATACATTTCTCACACCAGTATTTTGTATTTTAATTAAATACATTTGGTGAGCAAGTATTTGTAACAAAATACTTTTTTTGTATTTGTGCCCATCTCTGAATGTGACCAATGGGTAACCTATAAATATGGTAGCCTACAGAACGGGACTTTGAGGGACACCTTGAGTGAGAGGACTTAAGATCTGAAGTCATGAACAGCAATGAATAATTGTCTGTCAGTGAGGTAAACCCATTTAAACCATTACGGGAAACTACGGTTTTTTTTTTTTAAGTATCATTATTATAAGATAGTTTCTCACTATTTAGGGATTTTTTTCTGATGATGATGATTATTATTATTATTTTTATTATTATTATTAGAAATGTTCAATATAATGAGGTAGCCTATTAGGCTAAGTCATACCTTTTAGAAAGGTTCTCATTATTCTTTCTTTCTCAGCTGTGGCGTAAACGGGCTTCCATAGTCGGGGGAGGGCCAGTGGGAAGAATAGTCATCTCCTGAGGAAACGCCGCAGATACAAGATAACACAGTTAAACGTAACGTTGTGGTCATGTGAAAGAAATACTTGCGTTTAGAAGGAAATGTGCGCGAATTAAGTCATCTGGAGTTTGTATGGACGAACTTGTCAGAAGACGTAAAAAAACTTTCTCTCGATTCTATACGAATAACTTAAACGAAGGGTTAAAATCCGCTTTGAGGAATTTGTAATCTGCAACCAATATCACCGTGAACAGACAATTGCAAAGGATTACTTTGAAATTCTAGCCTGAAGACATTTGGCAATCAATGTAATGATTAAATTGATAAACAGTTTTAGCATTGTGTTTAACGTTTAATACAAATGATGGAATCAAGATGCGTTGTTTCTTTGCTCATTCTCCTGACTGGACACTTCGTCATGATAAGTGCTCAAGGGAAGGAGCAACTTTCCACGGGGCTCGTGTCTCGAACCCTGAAATCTGCACTTGGTAAAGGCAGTGTGGTCAATGAGTCCATGCCTCGACGACCACGAGTTTTGCCGCCTATGTGCACAGGTCCCACAGAAATAAGAGATACTTTCAAGTATATTAACACCGTGGTTTCATGCATTGTGTTTGTAGTTGGGATAATCGGAAACTCTACGCTGCTCAGAATCATTTATAAAAATAAATGCATGCGGAACGGTCCTAATATCCTCATTGCAAGTCTGGCGCTTGGGGACCTTTTGCATATTGTCACAGACATTCCCATTAACGTCTACAAGGTAAGCACAGTTTGCATGACAGCTTTTATTTAATCTTTCATTTAAAAAATATATGGCTTTTATAACCATTTATACTTTTTATATTTACACATTTATACTTCTTTTATGACCTTAAAAATAAACAGATAAATGAAAAGTAAACATGATATTTTATGCCATATTTTATTCTGTTTCCTTTGTTGCAAATTTAACAAGCGGTAGTTTTGGAATCTGACAAACAGGTCTTCACTGGCATTTAATAAGCATTTGAGGGAGTCCTGAGACACTGCCAAGATATCTTACCCTTTTGCTGGGTTAAATTATTATTTGCCTTTTAAAAGACAAATATATTAAATCTGAAAGTTGCAGTGAGATCCAACTATAAGAATGTAAATTAATATAAAGTTTATATCAGGTTTTATATCAAACATTTAAGAAATAATTTTAAGGTTCACTCATATTTTCTCTTATAGTGTTGTGACCTAGCTTTTATCTGAACTCTTCATGAAGTATATCAAGTGAATGCATGTACATGAGAACACAGGACAGGACAATTATTTGGTTAAGCTCATCAGAGCATCCATGATCTGACTCTATGAAACTACAAAACAACTTTTTTAACACACTAGGCAGCCCCTCAGCCTCTCAAACACTGTGCACCTAAAACAGGTTTCGTGAAATCCTGTAGTCATAAGAGCTCCTTAGGAAATATTTAACTGAATGTTTTTTTCCCCCTGTAATTTTCTGTTCTGTTCCTGTGTAATTTTGGCTCTTGTTGACCCAAAAGTACCTGTCTTTCAGCTTCTGGCTGAAGATTGGCCATTTGGTGTTGGACTTTGCAAAATGGTTCCCTTTATACAAAAGACATCAGTTGGCATCACAGTGCTGAGTTTGTGTGCACTGAGCATAGACAGGTATCTGTATTTTGTTGTATTTGTTTGCTCTTAGTACCTCAATATCTAGTAACACCATTTAATCTGGAATCTGGCACTGACTTTGTCCCAAAGGTTTCGAGCAGTGGCATCGTGGAACCGCATCAAAGGCATCGGCGTCCCTAAATGGACAGCCATTGAAATCATTCTGATATGGGTGCTGTCCATTATACTTGCAGTGCCAGAGGCCATTGCCTTTGACATGATCACAATGGACTACAAAGGAGAGCAACTTAGGATTTGCTTGCTCCACCCTATGCAGAAAAACAAGTTCATGCAGGTCAGTTTGCATTTGAACAGTAAAGAGGCTCCATGTTGTTGTGTTTGTGCATGTCATACAATATTTGGATCAACAAAATTTTAGCCAGGATACATAATAACTGGATTATTTAAGTTGCCTTACTATAGGTTAATAATGATCTTTGTTCAATTCCAGTTTTATAAGTCGGCCAAAGATTGGTGGCTTTTCAGTTTCTACTTCTGCATGCCGCTGATGTGTACTGCTATCTTCTACACTCTCATGACCTGTGAAATGCTTCGAAAGAAGAATGGGGTCCAAATTGTACTTAGTGATCACCTAAAACAGGTCAGAGCATTCTGTCCTTCATTACTTTTTACTGAATATTCTTTCAAGACAGACCATACACTCCCTACACAAGTTTATTAATACTCTGGAGATGGTTTACTTGTCATGATGTCTTAATTGCACTAAAACTGTCAAAAAAAATAATAATTCAGCAACTGACATGATTGTGCCCTACAGAGGCGTGAGGTGGCTAAAACCGTGTTCTGTCTGGTGCTAGTCTTTGCACTGTGCTGGCTTCCTCTGCACCTCAGTCGTATTCTTAAGCTTACCATTTATGATGAAAGGGACCCCAACCGCTGCGAGCTTCTGAGGTAAGAACACATCATCTATCTTCTCGTTAAAACACTATAATGTTCTTCTAAATAGTTAAATTCGACTTTTGAAGGACAAGAGTTCCGGCATGTAGTCTAATCTCTATCGTTTTGTTAAATCACAGTCTTAATAATAATGAAACTGTTTGTGTGTTTGTTTACCTGTAGTTTCTTCCTGGTTCTTGATTATATCGGGATCAACATGGCATCAGTGAACTCCTGCATAAACCCGATCGCTTTGTATATGGTTAGCAAGCGCTTCAAGAGCTGCTTCAGAGTAAGAACAGACTGACAGATAATGATGGACTGCTATGATGTAAAAATTTACAAAATAAATATAGTAAATTAACGTTTTTTTTTATTTATTTACTAAATAATGTATAGATAGATGCTTCCATTTATATGATGTTGTCAGTGAAAACAAGAATAATTAATTTTATGTCTTTGCACTGTAATGAAAGTCCCTGCATATGATAATAAAAATGTTTAATACTTAGGACCACTTCACACAGAATACATTTTTTGCATTCTACTGCCTAATTTTTAAGGCATTACTCAACTTATTTTTCTTGCAAGTGTGAACTATTGGGCATATCTGTTTTAATTCCTGCTGTAGTGTACATTAAAATATTCTGTATCCTCCTCTGTTCCCTTCCAGTCATGTCTGTGTTGCTGGTGCCTTCCTCCTGAAATGTTAGCCATGGATGACAAGCAGTCCTGCATGAAGCTAAAGGTGACAGAGCGAGGATCTGATCAAAGCAATAGCCGTGCCTCCAACAAATACACTTCAGCTTAGGCACTGATCTGCATACAGGTATTGGTGGCCAACAACATGCATTTAACATTTAGCTAATGCCATTAAACCTAACTCTGTGTCAGCTGGAGGTATACTCATTACAAGAATTGCTATGATAGGTATTAAGAAGGCTCAGTTTATATTCACTCCTGACTGGCATACATGTATTGGTCAACACCAGTTGTTTTTAAATGTGCTATATAAATACATTTGCATTGTATTGTATTATATTTTATGTAGTGTTAGGAACTACTTCAAATTTGATTTAACATTGACATCCACAATTCTTAAAGGGGTCATAGGATACTACATGCACTTTTACAAGTTGTTTGAACTGAAATGTGTGTTGGCAGTGTGTGTACAAAACCACCCTATAATGATAAAAATCCATCCAGTGTTTTTTTTTAAATCTGGTTAAATGTTTTCCCCTTTCTCAAATCGAGCCGATCTCAGATGCCTGTCTGTGTGACGTCATACAGACAGGCCCCTCCCACGATAGTTTGATTGACAGTAGCGTTTCAGCACAGACTGGACTGGTGTCTTACCTCAGACCCACCCTGAGTGAGCTGTTATCAGTCCACCATTGTTTCACCGCTGGAGCAGATGTAGACAAGAATGACTCCTAAGCGATTGAGGTTTTCTGTTGTTGGATGTAATAATGAACATAGCAGTCGTCATTTACTCCCGACATCTGAGCCACTGAACTCACAGTGGATTAAATTTGTTTCTGAAGGGAATGCGCCCCCGATCTACATAAATGCGTCTGTTTGCTCGAATCATTCATGATCCAGCCTCATCTACAGAAGAAGTGAGTATAATGTTTTGTAATGAATCTTTGCAAATCGCCTTTCCTAACAATGTGCTAATTAGCAAGTTTCACGATGAATGCGGCTAAAGTAAACAGTCTCTCTGAGAGCAGCTCGGAAGAGAGGGGCAGGGTCAGCAGACCTCATTAACATTTAAAGGAAAATGCTACAAAAACGGCTTGATCTGAAAAGAGCTATTTTTGACAGGGTGAAAAAGGTGTTTTTTACATTACCATTGAGAAAGTTGGTAACACTTTACATGAAGGGGTGTGCATAAGACTGACATGACACCTTCGTAATCATGACATGACACATGTCATGAATATGAAGGAGGTTTTATGCATGTTTATGACAACTGTCATTAAGAGCGAATGGCACTTAATGACAGTTGTCATAAACATGCATAAAAACCCTTCATATTCATGACATGTGTCATGTCATGATTATGTAGGTGTCATGTCATGATTATGAAGGTGTCATGTCAGTCTTATGCACACCCCTTCAAGTAAAGTGTAACCAGAAATTTTAACCAAACTATGTTACAGACTTTTCATTAAGACCCCAAAGAATCATATCAACTTGTGGAATATGGGCATCCTATGACCCCTTTAACATTATGATAATGTTCTAGAAGCTCTGGTAAGGTTAAAAAAGTCCAATTCAACTGAATGATTTAACAATGATTAAACGTCTCAGCACGGGCCACATGTCACACTATCTTAAAAACGCTCACAGGATTTGTCCAACTCTCCATACATTCATATTTCAGGAATTGTGGTGTAAATATTCGACCAAAATCAAAAGTGACTTCACGTGCTCTCTATAGTACCCTGTACATTTAAAGCAGGGGTTTTCAAACCACTCCTGGAGCACCTCCAGCACTGCACATTTATTATGTCTCCCTTATTGGACACCCAATTCAGTCTCTACTAATGAGCTGATGAGTTGTATTAGGTGTGTTAAATCAGACATACAAAATGTGCAGTGATGGGGGTGCTCCAGGACTGGTTTGAAAACTCCTGATTTAAAGAATTTCCAAATGTAATAAAGCAACTGATTGTAAGAACAATGCTAGGTTTGTTTTGGTGTACATATATGGAGTTGCCCTGCAGCATAGTTCAAGTCAACAACCTTATTTCAATAGCTCTTTTATGCCAGAAAATACATGAACCCCAAAATAGAAGAGTATATTTCTTATGTGTTTATTATTATTATTACTACTACTACTACTATTGGCTTTGAGATGTTATACTTTTTTGATTGTTATTTGTTTTGGGGGGGTTCGGTCATGTGATATGGTTTCATAATTCATTATGTATCTTTAAGGATAGTGTGTTTGTCAATGTTGCACATGCTTGCAAACTTATACTGCGATTATTTCATCTGTCTAGTAGAAGATTATTAATCTTCCACATGACTCAAGGCTTCAGATATTTTACTAATCATTTAATTCTGTGTTATAATTCCTTCTGACTCAGTTTTTTGTAGTTCTTTTTAATAATATTTATAGATTTCTTTGTTGTCCATCTGTTATGTAAGACCTTTTATCTTGAATGTGTTGCAAAAAGCTTATTTTAAGACAATAAAAACATTTACACCATGTTTACACCATTTCCAGTTAATTGTGGTAAAGTATCTGTTGTTAATATTAGTTAATACAATAACATGAACTAACAATGAGCAATATATTGTATATAGCATTTGCTAATCAATAATAATGTTAGTAATAGAAAATACTGTTGTTCATTGTTTATTCATATTAGTTCACAGTGCAACAGTGTTAACAGATACAACTTTTAAGCATAAATCTTGCTGAATATATTTATATTCAGATTTCCACACAACTTGCATGGATGTTTGGTTAACTTCTTAATTACATTTTACTTTAGAAGACAAGATCTCATATTTGTACTGGAGGATTCACTTATTAGATTGGACAACCTCATTTTAAGTCTTGTCCTTTTTTATGCTGTATTTTATATTTAGTTGTTGCATTCTCGGTGTCTGCTGGTCATATGTGGTATTAAGTAAATAGTCTAATGTTTCAGATAAAGTAAAGAGTTAAACTTGAACTTTTTCTTGATAGGTCATTTTAATTTTCCTAATTTTTCTTATGTTACCAATGTAAACCAAACACGACAACATCAGAAATGTAGGAATGAACCTAAAAGACAGTAGTAGGTTTGTGAATAGCCTCCTCTTAAACAAGATCACATGATTCATGAGCATGACTAAAGGACATCATGTGAGATGTTTTGAGGAAACTGCTTTCTCTCATGACCATCTCTCCCGTCTTTAAATGATCATAATGCATGACAAATTATGCCATGAAAGAGTCTCTGTTTAATTTCCAACAGGATTCCTCCTCCTGCAGTCACTGTGAAATCTACAACAACAGCACCTCTGAATCATCACATGAGAGATTCCAAGCTGAATAAAGGCCTCCTGTAGTGAATCCATGGGTTTTTGTAAGAAAAATATCCATATTTCAGACGTAATAAACTTTTCTCTCACTTCCGTTATCTGTCGTACGCGTATACGTATGCGCAGCACGCGCGCCTCTGAGATATGAGAGTCAATCCTCCAACATTTTTCTTTGCAAATCCTCTGTTTGTAATTCTAATTCATGACCGGCGTTTTGTTGCCAACCACCATTAAACATTAAGAAGAAGTAGTCAATAATCACGCAACACCAACTTCTTACGTCATCTGCCGGAACGGCTTCCGCGTATGACAGATAACAGAAATTAGAGAAAGGTGTTTATTACGTTTGAAATATGGATTAAAACACAAGCTAATTTTCATTTTTGGGTGTTTTTTTTAATATAGTATTTATATTAAATCTTTAAAAACATTGAACTTAGTTTGTTACTTTAAAAAGACATTAATATATGTACAGTTGTTGACAAAAGTTTAAATACAACTGCAAAATGTTAATTATTTTACCAAAATAACAGGGATTTTATTTAGTACAGTCCTGAATAAGATATTTTTTTAAATTTAAGTTTACATACGCTTGATTCTTAATACTTTGTGTTGTTACCCATTCACAACTGTTGTTCATGAGTTTCTCGTTTGGCCTGAACAGTTAAACTACCCACTGTTCTTCAGAAAATCCTCCAGGTCCCACAAATTCTTTGGTTTTCCAGCATCTTATGCATATTTGAACCCTTTCCAGCAGTGACTGTATGATTTTGAGATCAAAACATACTGAAACTTGTGATGGGGGGTGAAACTTTTGAACATTTTGTTTAAATAACGTATTTTTCATTTAGTACTGCCCTTCAAATGCTTCAGAAGATACTTACATTTCCCAGAAGACAAAATAAGTGCCGTTTACCTTGATCTTAAAATCAAGTTTTCACCCCTGGCTCCTCCTTTGGCATCAGTGAATGTCCCTCAGTTGTCAAAAAAATGGATCTCAAAATCATAGTCACTGATGCTGGAAAACCAAATAATTTGTGGGACCTGGAGGTTTTTCTGAAGAACAGTGGGCAGTTTAACTGCAGGAAAAACAAAGGTCTCATGAACAACGGTCATGAAAAACAACAGCAACTAAATAACGGTTGTGGATCATATAGGTAACAACACAGTATTAAGAAAGAAGCATATGTACTTTTGAACGGGGTCATTTTTATTTTTTATTTCTGTTGTGGACTATGTAAACATATTTTATTCATGGATTTATGATCATATAATTAATTACCATTTTCCAGATTATGCAAGGTTTATGTATCGTAACTATATATCTTTAATTTATAACTGTTGTTTGTCTATTATTATTATGTCCCTTTCTTGTCTGATTTTTCAATCAGTGATGGTGGCATATGTGGTGGTACACTTTTAATTTGATCATCAGAGATTGTTGATTGGTTAAGTTGTATTGTATCCTATTGTATCTATTAGTATTCCTCTCAGAGGCCATGTAAATTTGTCTTTGTATTCTACTTTTCCAGTCAAAATGCAGTTCCTTAAGGTTATAACTTACAAATTAGTATGACAAATTGGTGTTAGTTAAGAAAATTTTACTATTTTCTAATTTTATTACCTGAAAGTAACAGCACGTTACACACTCACGAAATGGCTTCAAGTGGAGGAAAAGCAGTTGTTCACAATCACAGGAGAGATATGCTAATGAGCAGAAATATTTGCGAATACGGGTGAGAATTACAGAGAGTTTAATTTGTATATCAATATGTATCTTCATATTTTTTTTGTAAATATGAATATACGTTTCTATAGCTTTGATTAATTTTAATGTGTAATTTTGGCCGCCCCTGAAATGGGTCAAGAGTGTGTACACTTGGGTACACATTTCATAGACGGAGAAAGAGCATAACACAAATGTCAAAAATGCATGTGCACAGTTCAGTTGAAAGCTTGCCCCTCTCGTAATTTAAACTGATAAATTGAATATACGAAGCAAACTGTCTGTTTTAACAACCATAACATTAACAATAACACTGAAATAAGAGAGCACATGTTCATTATAGCATCAGTAGACTTTGTCAAGGTTGTTTTCAGAATTGTCTTTG